AAAAAAAAAGTTTTTTTTTTTTTTATTTTTTTTAAATATCTCTGGATTGGCTGAACCGATCGGTCTCAAAAACTATTTAGCTCTTAACCTTGAAAACCCCCATGGATCGCCACCAAAAACGTTAGAATCGGTTGATGCGTTCGTGAGTATCGTCGAAAAAAATCGAAAAAAGTGTTTTTTTGTAATAACTTCGAAATTCATGGCTCGATCGATTTAAACTTGGAAATTTTTCATGGAGCTTCAAAAACTGCGTCGATTGCCGCCAACCGCGTGAAAATCGGTTCATTCATTCAAAAGTTATTGCCGTTTGAAAATTCAAAAAATTGTGTCTTTAAACTGCTATTAGAGTTTTGAGCTCGAAGAGCTCAAAAACGTAATGTGTAGTTTGAAGCGTTTAAGTACAAAATGAGCGGGAAGTTGCAGGGATGGCATTTAGGGTGAACCGTTTTTCTAATTTTTTTTTGTTACGATCCTAGTAGTTTTTTTTTTATTCATTATGGAATCTACTTCCATTTCGGCTGCCGAATGGCCTTTTTTTTCTTGAATCAAGTTTACTTTTTTACCAATGTATTAGTAAAATTAGTCTAAGTTGAATGACAATAAATTTAATGATAATAATAACTTACTTGAAACCGTTGGTCCCACTGATGACACCGGCCGCAGATCCCACTCAGCAGCAACATCATCTTCAGTTAGCGCGGAATCCAACGAAGGAACCGATTCGTCTCGCCGGACTACTTCCGTACTAGCGGAAAGGTGTGCTGGTCCTGCTGCTCCTGCTGCTGCTTGTGGTGCCGCTCCTACAGTTGCTTGTGCCGCAGCTCTTGTAGCTGCTTGTGCCGTAGCTTCTGTAGCTGCTTGTGCCACTGCTCCTTGTGGTGCCGCTCCTCCTGCTGGTGCTGCTCTTGCTGCTGCTATCAGTACCAGTTGCGCAGCTGCCCGACCAGTTGAAACAGCTGGTAGACCAATTGGTACTCCGGGTAGAACTGGGCCTTGTCCTGGTGGCCCATCAGGCAGTTGCGCATTCAGTGCTCCCGGTTCCATTACAGCTGAAGCTGGAGGTGGTGGCGGCGGCGGCAGAAGTTGCACACCTGGTGCAATTTGCTGAACGCCTAATGGCCGTTGCGGTTTTGAAGTGGACGGTAGTGGTGGATACCACGCACTCAGTTTGGCTGATTGAAAGCCCCATTGGTAGTAGTTGCCAAAGCAAGCAGCCAACCCGGTGCGATTATTTGAGGAGTACTGCGCAAACGCCATAGCTATTCAGTTTATATCTTCTTCTGGAATGAGAAAATGATTTACTAAATGATAGTATGTGATGATTTTTTTTGTCACTCGATTATTTATTAAAAAAAATTTTTTTAAAGAAAATCTAAATAATTAATAAATCTAATGACAAAAAAATTATTATTATTATCGTTACTTACGTGATAATCCGAGCCGTCCGCCATTATTGAGTTGATACCTAGAAAAAGATAGAAAAATGCAAATTAATCTTATATATAATAATTAATTTATAAAATTAATTAACTATTCTTTAAATTCTTTATGTCTAAAAAATCATAATATTATTATCAACAAAAATAAAAATATTACGAGATTGTTATTTAATTGAAATAATTTTATTAATAATAAAATAATAATAATAGTATTTAACTCACGTACTCGACAAAAAACACTTGGACAATGAACTGAATATTAATGATGATAATAATAATAATTATAGTAATACTTAAGTCGCGAAATGATGTTTTTTATTATTCTCAAATTGTTGTTAGTAAATTTATTGTCTCAGGCATTGATGACTACATATGTATACGGTTCGAGTTAAAAAATATCCTTAGTCGCATGTAGACGTCACCACCGGTAAATTAAAAGGATTTGTATGATAATGTATATATTGGCTAACTAACTACAAAGTTGATATCAGTTGGTTGTATTTAAATTGTATCATGATGGTACAATTTCGTTTCTTTATCAATATTTTTTTAATGAAACCCGTAATAAAATTAATAGAAAAATATAACAATTCTTCAATTACCATGCATCAGTTGTAAAAAGTTAATTAATCTAATGCACGACTATTGTAAAATTACTATAACGTTCAATTATTGGTAACGTTCAATCATTGACAGACTTGACGAATTTTACGGTTGCCGTGGTTGCGGTGAGAGAATAACAATAATAATTTATTATTGTGAATATATCTGTACATTTGTAATATATTAATATCCGAACAAAAACAGTTTCACTGTAAAAAATTGCGCCAAGTTCACGTTCATAAAACTCATCTCAATAACATTTACACTTTACAAAAAAAAATTAGACTCCCCATACAAAAAATGATGATCGGACCGATACTGGGCCAAGACTGGTAACCGATCCTTAAGTATCGGCCGAGTACCGTGAAATATCGTTGGGCCAAGACTAGGCAAGTATCGGATGGTAACACCCAGCCGACATAGGCGACTGAGCATCGGCCGAGCATCGGCCAAGCATAGGCAAAAAAATCAAATTTTATGTAAAATAATAAAAAAAATTATTTTTTCTTTGTTTATTTTTGAATTATTATTATTCTGAGGTGATGGACTACTGGTTGATAGAAATTAATTCTGAAAAAATTCGGATGTGAAGGGATTTGAACCTGGTTCGTCTGCGTAGAAGTCTCGAGCGGTGTCACGGGCGCTGCTAACTGATCTGAGTGTCGTATGCTTAATTGAATCATTTCAATGTTCAACAATCAATTTTTCTCAGTATAATTGAGTTAATTTGATTGTTGTTACGAATTTTTCTATTTATTTCATAATTGAACGATTTCTGAATTTTAATAATAAAAAATAACTTCCTAGTTTTTTAAAACTTCATTTTTTAAGCAAGAAGTTCAAACTTAATTAAAAATAAATGATTTATTAGTAAATAAATATATATATTTATATTTGTATATTTTTATTTATATTCATAAATCTATTTGTAAGTAAATATAGTATATTACATACCTAGGCCAGTAAAATAAGAAAAGTCTCAGACCACATGTAATTGTTGGCCGAGGCGAAGCCGAGGTTGACAAACATGTGGTTTGAGGCTTTACTTTTTACTGGCCAAGGTGTGTATACTATTTTTCTGCTCGACGTAGCCGGAACGTGGCAACTTTGTTTAGCGCAGCGGCCAGAAAGTTGCCACTTTCCGGTCGGAGGGCAGAAAAATCATTTATTAAAAATCATTAGTTTCTTGCTAAAATATTTTTTTTTTTAATACTAAAAGAAATAGGTTTAACTGATTGGGTAATGTAAAAATTTATCGAAAAAGTCCTCCAAAAAAATATTCATTACTTATTAAATCTGTTTTAGTGAAAACAAATGTTGATTTAATCTTAATAGAGCTTGTTGAATAATGAAAATCTTTATTAAAAACAAAAAAAATGATCAATATAATATTTATAAAAAAAAAACATTGTTAATAATTTAAATTGGTGTTTTCTTTTAAAAAAATCTCGTAAGATATTTTTTAAAATTGATTTACTAATTTTTAGTACATATTAGTTTATAATTTGGTCAAACGTTATATTAAAACAATAATACAACATAGTAATGACTAACACGTATTAATTGTTTTCAAGTGTATACACTTTATTATACAGAGCATCGGCCAAGCTATGGCTGATAATCAAATCACATACCATTATATTATAATAAATATCGTGCGGTAGCCGATGGCTTACCTAGACTAGGCCAGTACAAATCGCCAATGCTTGGCCAAACATTAAAGCCGATGGTTTACCGAGGCTAGGCCGATACTTGGCCGAGCATTAGTAGCCGTGCCTTGGCCAATGAACGGAAATTGTTGAGCATCGGCAACTTCGTATGGGATGTACTGCTTGTTGGCAGTAAAATCAAAAATTATTTAAAATTTAATGAGATTATAAAATAATTATATTTTTCTCGCTAAGGTGTATGATGAATATTCTTTATGGTTAAAATTAAAAAAAAAAATTATAATTACATTGTAAAAAAATTGATAACTATACGTACCCAACAGAATTTAGCAGACGGGAAAAAAAAAATAGTAAATGCAACATGTTGCAGTCTTGGTAAATGAACATGATGAAATCATGTTGCAACCACATAATTTGTCATTTTTCGACTACATGATAATCATGTTGCGGTAACAAAAAACCCAAAAAACAAACACAAAAAAATTGCAATCAATCATTAAAAATCGAAATTATCAAGATGAAAAAAATTCGTTGTATTCAGATTGAGTATGATTTTTACGTATTCTGTGCTACAGAACTTTAATATGAAATCTTGTCTCAATAACGTTTTAAAGTAAAAAAAAACCTCAAAAAACCAAAAAAGTTAGGAAAATCGCAGTTATTAATATAAGAAAAAATAAGATTATTATTTTTTATTATATTATTATTTTTCTTATTAATAAGAAAAAATTTATGAAATACGATTTATTGCAATTTTTTGGGGTTTTTAATGTTTTTTTTTTTCAAATTTTGACGGCTCAACGGGCTAATTAATGTTCAGATTCAGATTCAGTAAATTGAAATACATAAAAATCATACTTGATCTGGGTCCACAAAATTTTATTCATCGCTGTGTCTGCAGTTTTTTTGCAATTTTTTGCCTTTTTTTTTGGTTCTTTTGGATTTTACTAAGAGTTTTGAAGGTGTACGGACAAAACTGACTTCAGGTTTGGATGCAGCGCGTCAAAATACATGAAGATAGGTAGGTTCGGTCAAAAGTACAGACAAATTTTATTTTTTGCGTGCTGATGTAATGGAATCAAAAAATTTCGCCGCTTATCTGGTCAAAATCGGTTGATTCGTTCGAGAGATATCGTGAACGACAAAAAAAAACCAAAACATGTTTTTTCGGAATTACTCCGAAATTACTTGTTCGATCAATTTGTACTTATAGATTCTTTATGAGGCTTAAAAGACTGCGTCGAATGCCGCCAACCGTATTAAAATCGGTTTATTCATTCGAAAGTTATTGCGGTTTGAAAATTCAAAAAATAGTGATCTATTAAACTGCTATCAGATTTTTGAGCTCGAACTGCTTAAAAGCATAAAAAAGCTACCTTATAAGTAGCATAAGTGCAATTTTAAGCGCCTAGGTATGGAATTAGCGGGAAATTGCAGAAATGGCCTTCATGGTCAACCGTTTTCCTAATTTTTTTAATTAACAACAAGTAGTAATATTGATAGTATCCTCTACAATAAATATAAAATTAACAAGTTATTGTTGCAATCTTCATAAGGTATACTTCTTAATACGTTGAGCCAGTACCACTAATTTTTTAATTAACTCATATGAAATATTCTTAAACTTCCATAATTTCACTATTAATTGCCGTTACTCAAAGTTATTTATATTTTCAATAGTTATTAAAAACAAATTTTAGTTGCAATACGATTGGGTGACTTAGAAAGTATTGTTACTGCGCTGAGGCAGTCAAATGATCCTATGAGTGAAGTTCGGAAGTATCAAATTTTTTTATACGAATGAATTTTTTTTTTTTTTTTCAATCAATAACAAATAATAACATTGATGGTATCTCTGACAACAAGTAAATAATCAATTAATTATTGTTGCAATCTCTTTAAAATATACTTTTTAATGCGCTGAGGCAGTACTAATATTTTTTTTACATGAAGCAAAGGAAATATACTTAAACTTTCATAATTTAATTATTAATTTCAGTTAAAGTTATTCACATTTCCAATAGTTATAAAAATAAAATTTTCCTTATCATAAGATTGAGTGAATTAGCAAATTATTGTTACTGGGTTGAGGCAGTCAAATGATTCTATGAGTAAAGTAAAGAAATATTAAATTTTTTAATTCGAATTTTTTTTTTTTAGTCAATAAGAACTAAAAAATTGATAGTATCTCTGACAACAAATAAATAATCAATTAATTATTGTTGCAATCTAATTAATAAATCATTTTTGATGCGCTAAGGAAGCACTTATATATGGGTGATTCTCTGTAAGGACGTCTTAAATCTGTACAAAATTGTCCGACCAAATTATTCTTGATTTTATTATAAAAAAAAAATAACAAGGGCTACAAAACTATCAGCTTAATTATAATAAATAAACAGCCGAATTAATTTTTGCTTTTTTGATATTTGTGTATCTTTTGCCATATAACATCACAGGGGACTGACTGCCAGGGGACTGATTTTTTTTATCAAATTGAGAAAAATCAAGCAAACTATTTCAATGTATTCAACTTTTTAAATTC